ACATTTAGGGACAGATCCAATTCCACCTGTTACTTGTCTAAGCAAGTGCTAAAGACAAATAAACTACTGCCTGCTCCACCAGCTCCAACCTTCTTCAAGTGCAGCAGAGGCCACCTGCAAGCCCAGGATGGATAACTTCATCTCTGTTCCTGATCCCAGTGAAATTTAAACAAGAGCACAAGCCGCTATACACATATGCCCGTGCCCAAAACGTGGAAGGGGCCCATACAAGTTCCCACAGCAGACCAGCCATCTACCTTGGAAGAAAAATGGCTCTGCTCTGGTTTCTGCTCCCTGCCGTGTCCTAAATTCGATCTGCTACTCTCTCTGTTGTCTGCCCTCAATCCCACATCCAATCTGCTGCTCTGCTTCCTTCTCCTTGCCCTGTTTCATGTCCGATCTGCTGCTCTGCTTCCTGCTCCATGCACTCAAGTCCAACCGTCTGCTTTATGTTCTGTTCCTTACCCTGTGTCCCATGTCTGATGTGATGCTCTGCTTTCTGCTCTATGCCTTGTCCCGCGTCTGACTGGCTACTCTGCTTTCTGCTCTCGTCCCTGTGTCACACCTCTAATCTGCTCCTCTTTCTCTTCCAGGCCCTGTCTCCCAGATCCAATCTGCTGTTCTGCTTTTTCCCTGCACTGTTTCATGTCCGATCGGCTAGTTTCTGTCCTGCTCCCTGCCCCGCGTCCTACGTCCGATCCGCTGCTCCCCCCGTCCCAGGCCGGTTTGGACCGTTCGCGCCAGGCGGCGGAAAACGTGGGGCAGCCCCGCCCCTTTTAGCATCGGCTGCGACCCGCACCCGCCGCCGGCAGCTGGACCTGAAGCCCCAGGGGCCCAGTGCGATCCCCCGAGCCGGGCGCAGCCCCGTGCGGAAGGGGAGCGGCTACTGTCCCTCCCGGCACCGCCGCTACCTCCAGCTCCTGCGTCTCGCACTGCTCCAGCAGCTTTCTAAAGCTGAAGGCGTTTTCCGCCATCACCGCCACTGGCATCTTCCTGCCCGGCCTGGCGCCACAGCCACCCGCCGCTTCCGGTCCAGGGCTCGCGTCACTTCCTCCCACACCACTGGCGAGGACTGGGAACCGAGTGTCGCAGAGCCGCTCTTGCCACCCCTCAGCTGCACAGGAGGACTCGAGGCTCGGAGGGAGGAACGTTCCGTCAGGGGGCGGGGCCGCCCTGCGAGCCAATGGCGCAGCTGCCAGCCCCGCCCCGCCTCTCTGGTTGCCCACCTGAGCCAGGGAAAGCGCTGGGGAGCCTCTAGGGTGGTGGTAACGCTGCTCGTTTGCCTAGCTTACTTATTTGGGAAGGTCAGGTAGAAGATATACCTACTTCTATCCATGCATCCATCTATCTGTCTATTCATCTATCACAAACTTCAGTGACTAACCAAAGCAGTGCATAGTGCTCGCTTCTCCACCCCCGCCCCCAAATGTGCGTAGGTACAAGTCTTGCTGATCTGAATCCAACTGCAAAGGACAAAAGATACAAAAATGATTCAAAATGAAATCACCAAATTGGACCAAAGGAGTCTAAATTAAAACTAAGGCTCCACAGCTGTAAGTAAATTAGCAGATTCTCAGTGGAGTCTGTCAGATGTCACAGAGCTTTACTGACATATTAAAATGTTCACTAAAACCGGTGTGAAGTTTGTATTTCAGCCTTGGAAACAGAAACCATTATTTTCTTTTATCCCACAGAAAAAAACCACAATAAACATGCATAGCACAAGCTTTGGTGACTAGTTACACCCATAGACACAGACATGTGTATCCCCCTTCCAGTTTTGGTGGGTCAAAGCTCATTTCATCAGATGCTTTCAGTAGCATGTGCCTACAGGGTTTTCTTTTTTTCTGATGGCAAGTATATATCAGTATATATTACCACACACACACACACACACACACACACACACACACACACACCCCCCGTTAGTCTATAAGGTGCAAATCTACCCTTTGTTTTAATTGACTTCAGATTAATGTGGCTAACTACAGGTGTGTCTAGGTGTTCATAAATGCATTTTAGGCCATGCTTATTAAATCTAGTACCTCTGGGCATTTTTACACATGCTCTGGGATCAGGGGGAGGGAAAGGGGGGCGCTTTCATTAGAGTGGCTCCCACAACCGCTCTAATTAAAGAGCCCAGAACTTCTCATGGATCAGAGTCCCTGTGCTTCAAAATGGTGGTGGTGGGGGCGGGGTGCTTTAAAGATGGTTCAATGAGCTTTAGATAAAACGCCCCTGCCGCCATTCTGAAGCGCAGGGACACTGACACACGAGAGGTGGAGGGTGGCTGGAGCAGACTTGATTAATCAAGTCTGCTCCAATGCACTATAATTACAGCATAGCAGAGCAGCCTCCCAGCTTATGTACAGACACCCTCCATTGTGAGGTACTAGAAAACTGTACAGTAGACTATTTTAATGTGTATTAGTTAAAGAGCACTTTTTATGACACTTTAATGCACATTAAAATAAGCTAATGCACATTAAAGTGCACATATAGACATGCGTTACATCTCTCAGCGCATGCTGTGCCACCACTGATCAGGGCTCTTCTAGCATCTCTATAGCAGCAAACCTGTAACGTTTGAGGCTATTGCTTATATGCAGAATGCTACCAACGTGACTCCACGCAGTGCAAGAACTTGATTAGGTTGATCAGGCTGCTGCATAGGAAAAGATTGACCAGAAGAAGGTAGAAGCCATACTCCACTGCTGCTCTCCATGCTGGAACTGTACTCACAGCTCCTCTGTGCTAGGCTTTTTGCTTTCCTCCTTCATATCCCTCCTAAAATCTTTCAACACGTCTAACTTCTGCTTCTGCTCCACTGCCAGTGTGATTCATCACCTAAACTATAAGCATGAGGCCTAGTACTGAAAGGCAAAGAGTATTTGAAGTGCAAGCAGTTTCCACATTAGATGCTGATCCACATCTGCTTAGGCAACACAACACGAAACACTGTCCACCTTGCCACCACCATCAGCTACAACTGCCAACCACCCGGGGCGGCACCACCCACCCGCTACTTTCAACTCTGTACATTTCTATCATCATATCAGCTATATAGTAAAAAAAAAAATCATATATATAAATTATCATTACTTTGTAACATGAGGGGAAGGAAAAGAGAGATGATTCACAAGGCTTGTCGTCCGGATCACCATGAGGTCGCCTACTAGGAAACCAGCTGGAGCCTAAGCGGGTGCAAGTGGCAGGGTTTTGGGGTGACCGTGCCCTGCAGTGAGGTGTGGGGGGCTTAGCATGAGACTCCCAGTGGGAGGTAGAGGGCCGGGGACTGTGCAGGGAGGTTGGTTTATTGGTGCCAGTTTACTGACGCAAACAGGAGCCTCCTGCTGTAACTCAGCAGGAGGCTGGACTCGATCTTCTGAGGTCCCTTCCAGCCCTAATGTCTAACGTCTATGAAATCATTAGAAAAGACATCACTAGTAGGTTTGTGTGAAATTTCGCCAGTAGTTTCATTTTGACGCTGTTTCGAGCTCGAAACAGCAAAATCAAAATGAAACAGAGAGCTTCAAAACAGCCTCGAAACAAGACAAGTCAAAACGTTTCAAAATTTTTGAAACATTTCAAGTTTCAAAGCTCAAGCTGGGCTTGCCTGCAGGGAAACAGAAACTAAAGTAAGGACAGGGAGGGGGAAGAGGAGAGAAGGAGGAGTGCTCTCATTATTGACAGTGTAGCTGGCCAGTGACTGTGATCCTTTCCTGAGGTCCCTTCCAATCACAGTGCTCTGGGGGAGGGATGGAAAAACTGCAAAGAAGGCAGCCTTGTTTGAACTGCCCTGCTTTCTGCCTTGGTGTCAGTGGAGTGAGGGTGCACCTTAACACACACACACAGTGTTACCCACCCATGTCACGCGTTTTGCCTATCAGCAGCTAGAGGTGCAGGGTCCCAGAACCCAGAAACCCCTGCACCTATCTCCTTGGCAGGCTTCGTGGCCTCAACAGGGGCTAGCATGCTTGCAGTTTTCAGCCTGCTGCGCCTTAACACACACAGTGTTACGTCACAAATTCTGCTTGTCTGCAGCTTGAGGTGCGGTTTCCCCCAAACCCCTGCACCTGTCTCCTTGAAGCTTGGCAGGCTTCATGCCCTTAGAAGGGGCTACCATTCCTGCAAGTTTCATCCAAATCAGGCCAGAAATGACAAAGTTATAGGCTGTTTTGAGTTTCCCCATTACAGCCTATGGGTGAAACATCGAAACAGCGTCAAAACAGCGAAACTGTTTACACAAAATGGAACAGCAGTTTCGAATTGAAGTGAAATTCGAAACAAAATGCTGTTCCATTGAAACGTCAAAACACAAGTCAAAACAGAACAGTGTTGTTTCACACAGTCCTAATTACTAGGGGTAGATTGGTATTTGCCTCCCCTTACAGGAATCTGTGGTGAATGACACATGGGACTTAAGTCTTTTGAAAGCCCGTGGCGTGCAAACACAAACATGATGCACCAAAATAACTCAGGTTAAATTTTTTAAGACCCGGTAAATTAATGAGGATCAGATGCTGTGGTATGTACAAATGCCCTAAGTCTTTAAATTCCAGTCCTGCTAAGACATAAAGCACATATGGAACTGTTTGCAGGACCAGAGCCTGTGACTATCCTGAAAAGGTTACAGAGACAACACTTCATACATCTGAAGCTCCTCATGTTTTGCTTCATCACAACCTTTCTAGAAGGTTGGTTACACTGGAGGATTATGTGTATTTCTACCCATCAGTTACTGCTTTTGTTTAATGGGAAAGTGTTGGAATTTCTTTATAAATTCTATTTTATTGGCACTCTCTCTTTCTCCCAGGTGGTGGCACTGCTGTACTGTCTCTTATCCTCTGCCCCATTCACAGGCTACTCCATGGTATTTCTAAGCAAATGCTGACCTGGCTTTCACATTCCTCATCTCTAGCTTCCAACTTGATCTGTCTTGCTCTTTGTTTTCCTCAGCTCAGTGCAGTGGTGCTTCCCATAAAGAAGCTGCTTTGAAATTCAAACCATGTTTTTCCTTACCTCAGTAGCATTTCCAAACACCCACTATTTTTAGGGAGGGGTATGGTCCTTCTGATCCAGCTAAGGGGAGTCATTGATATCAGTGGGGTTTGTATCAGGCCTTCAGTCAACACCGTATACTTTAATAAGGTCACAGCCTGTCCTATTTTGTCTCAGTTCAGGAAAGCACTTGCCTGCTTGGATACACTTGACTTCGTATGCTTACCTGCTTTCCTGAATTGGTGGCTCAGGCAGCTTATAGTATTTTACCAATACTGGTTCTAAGTTGGTGTAAATGAGCATACCTTGATTTCCATGCAGGTCAAAGGTGAGGTCTCTGTGTAGGAACTAGATGTACAGTGAGTGACTTGGACACAGCAGCAGCCTGCATTCATTCCCATAGCTGCTGTTGGCTAGGACAGTCTATTCTAAGGTAAGGTTGGGCAATTATTTGGGCTGGAGAGCCACAGAAGGAGTTTTCGTGAGCTGTTTGTTGTAGGCTGGCAGGGGGAGGGCAGGTACTGACTTGGTCTGGTGCAGTTGGGGTGAGTAATTGATCCTATCCAGGTCCAGGTCCATTTTTACTGCATCCACTGCCAGGGGCACCGGATGAAGCCATGGACAGGGCGCACTCTGCCTGGTACTGGGGGCAGGGAGCTGTGCATGGGAGTGGGGAGGACAGGTGGGACCAGGATCACAGGGCCATGACAGCATGGAGCTAGGCCTGGGGTAGGACTGTGATCTGCTTCCCACGTGTCCCTGCCACAGGTGCTGGTTCCATGGGCAGGGATGTGCAGGTAGTGGATTGCGGCTGTGCCCTGGGCCCTGTCCCCTGTGCCCTGGCCCTGTTTTGTCAATGCCACATGATCCCAGCCCTTTCCTGCCCGTCCTGGTACTGGATGCTGCTCCTCACCCACCTGCTGCCCCATCCCATCCACCCAGCTAAGCATAACCTGCCTGCGGGGGTCTCAGGCTGGTCTCCATGGAGACTCTGCCCACATGCTCCATCCAGTGCCTCCGGCCAGATGGGTGGGTTGTCCAAGC